GGGGAAAGAAACCGGGTCCCGCCTGGCCAGCGCCGTCCCCCTAATACTTGCCCGCCGCGGCGCAGCCGTTAACGGTCGTTTCCCCCTACCCCCGCCCTTTGTGGGGCCCGAGCCGCCGCCTCTGAGGGGTACCTGCTCTCCCCCCTCAGGTAAAAGGCTGCTTGAAGGCGCCGTTAACAACCCGCCTGGGGGTATTTTTTGTGTTTCGCCGGTTGTGCGAGGAGAGGGGCGGTGAAAGGCGAAGCTCCCTGCGCGAAAGTTTTCCCGCTGCGGGTGCCCCCGCCACCCCGTTCCGGGAGTTAATTTTTCTGAGGAGAATATTGGTAATCGGCGGGTTTTTAAGCGAGGGCGCAGGCTGCGGGTGCCCTTTGTTCGGCGGGACCAGTGCTGCAGCGCCGAGACAAGAAGGGGCCGGGGGCGGTGAACGAGGCGGGGGTCCCTTAGCCTTCAGCGCCCTGTACTCCGTGTTCAACCCCAGCTCTTTCCCCGTTCACCCTTTTTTTTTTTTTCTGCTCAGGTGACAAACAGGCGGTGAGAAGCCTGGTAGTTCACTGTATTTTTCAGGTGAAGTGATAACTGGTTTGTGCTCTCCCAAATGAAGTCCTGCCAAAGCAGAGTTGCTTTCTGTATTTTTTTTCTGCATTGCTTTCCCTGTGTAACTTGTTTTCCTACTTTAGAGACTTCCATATGTATTGGAAAGGTGCAACTTTAATGTGCCATTTTTACAAACTTTGTTGGAGGGGTGTGAAATTTGTGAGGAAATTGTCATGCTATCTTTATATTGTTAGCTGTATTAGCCTTTTTCTTCTATTTGAAAGGAGAAAAAAAAAGCTGGCTAGGATACCAAAGGCAAGGATTTTTTGGACAATAATTGCATGATAGCTTTTATTGGAAATACAAAGGGATACTGGGGAAGGAGCTACCAGAAGTGTAGAGAATAGATTCCTTACTGGTTACCTCTTCTAGTTTCCTGCAGAAATGGCTGGGCCTTTTTTCCTTTTTTTTTTTCTTTTTTTTTTTTTTTTCTTCTCATTGATTGCTCTCAGCTGCTTTTCCAGGGCAAGAAAATACCACTGCCAGGGGGCCTTGGTTGACAGGCCACCTGCAATGTGATGTTGTATGAAGTTGCTTGCTGTGAAAGAGGGGAGTGTCAAGGAAATAGTGTCATTTCAAAACAACAGTTGAAATGAAGGAGAAAAGTGTTTGTGAAGGCAAACTGTCTTGATGTCACTGTAATGTGTAGGGCTTTCTTTAAAGTTGCAAGACTGGGAAAAAGTGCTCCATGGAATGTGTTTGTGTGATGGTGTGCTTATCTTATGCAATTTCCAGATGCCTCAGCCTGACTGTTCAGATTGATGGTAACGTTGTATTTCAAGGGTAGAGGGAGATGAAGTCTGGAGTAGAGGCCGTGCCACAAGGACTTAGTGCTCCTGCAAAGTGCCTGGAGGACCATTATCAGTCGAGATGTACAGTCTCTGGTTAACCTTGTGTGTAGTTACAGCAGTTCAAAATTGTGTTCTGATATAACTAAGGGATTGTGCTGGTGAGCTTGAGTGTTTGCTTGCAGTAATCTGGATAATTTGTGCAGTTAAGATGGTAGCATCAACCAAGAAAGATGTATAATGCAGAGGAACTGTCTAAAAAGATCAACTGCATATATAAGCAGCTGATATTGCACATGATGTTTTTGGCTGCTGAGGACACGAACCCTTGCTGCCTAAGCACAACAGTCCCTGCCAACTCTGTGACAAATTTATCTCTGAGTTCACTAGGACCAGAGCTTCTAATTCACCTTAAGCTGAGGAGCCTGTATTGGTTTACCACATTGGAGCTTTGCTTTGCTCTTTGAAGGAGAGGCAGTATGTATTTATGCTGAGGAAACCCTTTATTGTTAGCAGCTCTGAAAACTGGAAAGATAGTGTTTCTATCACTAAATGTTCAGGCTGTCCGGATGTATAAGTTATTGTTTATCTGTGTTTTTATCTGTCATTCCTATGGAGAACCATTTTCTTCAGATTTTGGTTCATAATTCTTTGCATGTCAAAAAGAATTTATGCTGATGGTTACATACTGCGGATCAGAATAGACTAACATTGTAAATCATCTACTTGGTGCTTTTATGTAAATGGTGGAAAATGCAATTTCTTGTGTTTGTTAATGACAATTTGGGGAAAAAGTGCAAAAATGCCATTCATTTGCTCTTGTTACAAGCATGAATAAACCTTGGACTCCTCTGGTTTGAAGAGTTGTTTTTGAACAGTAACAAAGTATTTGCTGACACATTTGAAGCCTGGTTTAAAAATAGCTGTTTTTATCTTGTCAGGGCATAGTGCTTGATTGTTTTTTTTCTCCTTCAGCTCAGCGAAAAAAGAAGCATTCAAACATTTAAATATGCCACTGAACTACATGTTTTTGTTTTGATGTGCATCTCATGTAGATGTACGCTGACAGAATATGCCAACTTGAATCTTCATGTAAAAAAACTTTTTTACTTTAACAGATGAAACTTTGTCAATGCTTGTGGCTTCAGCTTGAATTTTAAACTAGAGTCACATGCTCTCTTGGCATGGTGATAAACTCAGGAAAATGTTTGGGAGCCATAATGTGAAATATTTAAATTTGCTTTCAAAGCTTGAGCTGTGATAGCACAGCAATATTTTTTTTGCATTAGGAAGGTGTGTAAAAATAGACTGTAGCCTAATCATAAAACAACTTGCGCTCTGAGAAATGTTCTGATAAATATTTGTCTGCTTTACATTTGCCAGATTTATGCAGAACGGGATCCTTAATCAAGCACAGTCACTGCCTTTAGGTGCTTTTTGGACAGATGATTCCAAATGCCTTTAATTGTACAGCAGCAGTGTATGTATGGAGTTTTAAAGAAGTGAGTCTGTGGTCTACTGTGCATTTTGTGCAAGAAAATTAGAGCAGAGCTGGCAGATTTTTAAAAAAACTGTTTTGATTAATGGAGCAGGAAGAGAGGCTCTGGTTGTGGTAGGTTGTAGCTTAGAAAATTAAAGTGATGCTCCATGCCATTGATTTATATCTTTTGATAGTCTCCAGGCTTCTCTGATTTTTTTTTTTTTTTTAATATCAAATAAATAAATGAAATACTTTTAGGGCTGATGTTAATTATCATGGACATAGTGAGTATCCATAAGGATAAATATCCATGAGGATACCAAAGCATCCATGTTACCAAAGCATCTTTTTCATTCTTGATCCAGTCACTTCTTAGGACAAAACTCAAAACTTGGCACAAAGACTGCTGATGAAATACAGTAACTGTTTAACTGGCCCTCCCAGATTTCAGAAGCAAAAACAAAAATTCTTGTCACTCTTCACCATCTTTGTGAAGTGACCATCTTTATGGTGAAGAGATTATTCATCCATTTTATAAAATGTATGCTCTATTAAACTGAGTGAAGGTCTGCATATGCAAAAATATTTTTAGTGTTTATAACTTACTGTAGAATATATATACTTTGAAAATGTCTGTTAAACTTGTTTTTTCTAATGTTATCTGCAGAGCTGTTCCTTCTGGTGTGGATTGGTGCGGTGAAAAGTGTTATGTTGGATGTTTGGGTGTATCCATCTCCACTTATTGTTGTCTAATGTTTATATTAGTCTAATATTGTATGTTAGCTATACTTGGTTTATTGTTGTACCCTTTCCTTGTGACTAGAGGGATAGAATTAATATTTTATCCCAATCAAACCATCTTAACTTTGTTCAGAGAAAGGGATGCTAACAGGAATATATTTTCTAATACTCTCCAAAGAAAAATATTGCAGAACAGAATGAAATTTGGCATGTTTTAGGGTTTCTGATACTTTTATGCTGTGACAGTGGCCACTGTTTGAAATTACTGATACTTGTGTTTGCCTTTCCCTCACCAAAATATTACTGTTTTTTTGCATTTTTTATTAAATATATTTTGCAGTGGTGCATAGTGTAAATTGCAATGCTGAGTCTCTTTTGAAACAGAGTATGCACTGCTTTGAGGTAGCGATAATGCTAACTCATCTACCTGCATCTAAGCCTTGCACCTGCATTTTCTATACCATTGGCTAAAAGGATTAGTGCAGGCAAGCAACCAGGCATGCCTAATGCAAGATGACTGTCCATAAAACATGGACTAAGATGCCAAAAACAGCTGCCTTAATTACAGGGACATTTTGGAGGTTGATCGGTTAGTCTTATATGCGGCTCTTGTGTACTTCTGGATGAGGCTTCAGCACATTGTGTTTAGTAGCTCTTCATCCTTGTCCCTTGACACTGGAAGATTTTTCTTTCTTGTGAAGAGATACTTGCTGCTGTATACTGTATTCTTGGATTTAACTGTGCTTTCTCTTGCTCGTATATAAATATGTGAAGCAATTGTAACACTAGTTGCATAAAAATCTTTACGCTCAACTGTTTTATAGTGCTTGGGTCTGGACACTGATAAGCCAGTGGTCAGACTCATAGGGGACATTTTGGTGATATCCTTAAAACACTTCAAAAGATGTAGGAAAGCCTGAAGCCTGTATGACAGCTCTCTGGATAACTTTGCTTGGGTATGAAGCTGTGCCAGCATCATTACTCTAGCAGTGTAAAGCAAAGTTGTCCTTTGATTTTTATCATAGCTTGATCTTAGCTTCTTTGTAGAGCCTCAAACTCTTGTCTGTCAAATTCAACTTAAAAGGTTTGATCTTGTTACTATTTTGTGTTTTTAAACCACGTGAACTTCAGTATGTTATTTCTGTTGACTGGAAAATAGGACCTTAACTTGCACTGTCAGGATCTGGCTTTTTTTTTAAGTTCTTTTAATGTATCCATGAATAGTGCCATTTAGTGGCTCAGAGCTGTTTCTTTGTCAGCGAAATATGAACAGTTTTTCATAGTTCTGGATGTGATATCATGAGCTGTTATTAAAAGTATGATTTTATAGACAGATATACCTTTGGCCTGAGCAAGTTGAAGCATACTTGAGGAGCCTTGGTCAATTCCTACTAGTTCTGAAGTGCACATGTACACTGGATGGAAGAAAATTTGTGTGTGTGAAAGTATCTTGAGGGAAGCCTTGTACATAAGGAATTGTTTGCGTAAATTTTAGACTTCTCAAGAAGTAGAGCTACACTATTTCCATTGCTGCAGTTAATTTGCTAGTTATTCATAATTGCCATGCAACCCTTGATTTCAGGCTTTGATTGGCTTCTTCACTTGAGTTAGTAGTCTGGTGTAATTTACTCCTTAGCATTGGTGCAAGTCTGAATCTTCCCATGTTGGGTTAGATCTTGAACTGCAAATTAGAGCAGCCAGTGGCTGTAACTGCCCTGCTCCTCCTTTTGCCACTCATGCCCCCTGGAAACTTGAGACTTGTTGATTCCCTTCTTGTACTGGCAGTGGCTTTGTGTGGATTACTGGTTATCTATATCACTCCTTTAGTGAAATTTGAATCCTCAGTATAAAAAGGAAACTGTACTGATAAATGATTTTGCTGTTGCTTTTGTTGACTCAAGTCTAGCCTGGAGTGTTTCTGGAATAGTGCATGATTTCACCCCAGAATAAAACTGGGGCAGAAGAGTAAAACTAGTTAGCAAAGAGAACTATTCCCATGTATCAAGAAATTGTCTATTTTAATTGCAGAGTTCTTGGGGTATCTTCAGAGGAAATAGTATTTTACTGTTTTCTGACTGGGTGAAGGTTTGTTGCAGTGCATTTCCTTAAATTCAGGAGCAAGGAGGGAGCTGTAAAAAGTGTAGCTGAATTTAGGTGCCAAGCATTTGCACCTTGTTTCCTGGGAAATGAGGCTGGTGTTTTCACTCCTGAAAGTGATGTTATCTGTATGCTCATATAAATGTTTCAAATATTTGTATGTTCCTTACAGGAACTAAGTGATCTGCAGCGTGACCCACCAGCCCACTGTTCTGCTGGACCTGTTGGAGATGACTGTAAGCTCTTCATAGTATATTGATACAGTTGACTTTTTTTAGTTAAGAGCCAGCTCGGAAGAACTCTAATCACTATATCTTTCTGATTTTCAGTGTTTCATTGGCAAGCAACTATTATGGGACCTGTAAGTATATTATTCATACTGTTTAGAAAAATAGATTTTGTTTTCCTTTTGATTATGGAGGGATTCCTTTGGGTGACATAACAATCAAATTCAGCAATGCTCTGTGCAGATTAAAGATTTGGGGTGGCATTGTTATTTTTATAACCTGGTACTGATTTCTTTCAATAACTCTTCAAAAATCCCTCTTCCTCCTGGTCTTGAAATTAGATGCTTAATCAGTCAAATGTAAGGTTTGAATTGTTGATATTCTGTGAGCTGCAAAGCTTGCTTGCCAAAGATGATCATTGCAATTCTGAAAGTCATTCATCTGTCAAAAGGAGAAATAATTGACGTAATTCAATATAAAAGATAATAAATGTAAATGAGTAGTGTTGCATGAGGAAATTCAGGGGCTTTCAGATAGTTGAAGTTCATGTGATAGCTGTGAGGTGGCTCTGCCAAAAACGGGTGACTTTTGGAAACTAATCCAGCAATTGTGCAGGCTTTTGGTTTCTACGTGAGAAAAGCCTACTTTCCTCAGGCTGAGAGAGATCTCAAGGCTTAAGTCCCTTTTCAAAGAAATGATGTAAGGAAGAGTAGGAATATGTCAGAAAGTTACAAAGGAATCCTGAAAAGGATTTCAAAGTGAATGAAGAACATGACCAGAGGGAAGGGCTGTTTATCAATACCATGGTAAGTTTATGTTTCTACTTTTTTCGCCTTTTGACTTCATGCTGACTTGAAAAAGAGGAGTTTCTGGTTCAGGTGGTGGGCTGAAGCAGTCCATGAGTTGGAAATTTGAGACAGTACTTAATCCAGTGACATACTGCTTCACACAGTGGAGAAAGTGTACAGATTTGTGGCTGCTTTGAAGCAGCGTTTCAGCATCTTCAGCACAGGTCCTCCAAGTCAATGAAAATTAAATTAATTTACCAGGGAAATGTTGGAACCTGTTGCCCAACTTTTAAATGGCCCAGCAGCAGCTCAAATGCTTGTGACAAGCTTTATTATAGGATATAAAAAATTGTGCCATGGTTCTTTACTGGCTGTTACTTCTGTCATCCTGCTCTTGCCCCTTCATCACTTAAAGATGAGTGGTAAAACAGTGTTATCTTCTTTGCTTAAGTTTCTTAGGTTTCTTTAGTTCTGGAAAAGTATGAGAATCCCTTGCTGGCCTTTCTCAGCCTTATCTTCCAAAAAGAAAAGCCATACTATCAGTGTTATCCCCTTAGTCTGGATGAGGGAATCAGCTCCATCTTCTGTATAGTTCCCAAAAGCTTACTTTCAGGATTCACTTCTGATGAGTGGATGTGGGATAACCTCTCCTCCTGTTTCTGGGCATCATCAGTTTCATATATCTTAGCTGAACACAGTGTGACTTCACTTTGCCTGCTTTCTGACACTGAACTTGTCTGATCTTCAGCTTATTTTAACTTTGACAAATCCATGTACTATGCATGCAAGCACTGCTTTCAAACCTAATTGGAAGTACAGTGGCAATGTCTTCTGGTGTTACCTAATACTGACTTCTTAGCAATACTAAATATAACCTGTCTTATGTTGCAACACCGTCTGCATTTTGAGTGGATAGAAGAGCTTTCCTAAAATGAACCATCCATGGCTTTTTTATTACATTCTTCTCCAAAACTGAAACTTGTCCATTTCTGTGCTCAACTTTTTGAAAACAGGCTACCTCTTCTCTCATAAGAAAACAAACAAACAAAAATTGATATTCTACAGCTTTGTTCTGGGTCCCTACAGGGTTGATTTAAACTTATTAATGAGGCATTCTTTCCCTTCCATTAATCAGAAACTGCAAGTTTGCTCTTCATCTCTTAGTGTTGAGACTTGTCCCCCAGCTTTTGTAATTAATGGGAAGGAAAGGTGTCCTCAACAGATGACTGCATCAAAGTTGCTTCTATCTATTAACTGTGTGCAACCTGGACATAAACCTGTGCACATGTTCTCTAACAAAATGCATGTTCACAGATTTGTACAGGTCACAAAGATGTTGTGTGTTTTAAAACTCCCTGATGTCATCATGATCAACTGAATTATGTTGGAAAATCCTACTCTTTGCATCTGCAAAGAGAAACCACTTATTGAGGTAAGTATATTTGTAGCTTAAAGGTGGAGGAAGATCCTGAATATAGCAGAGCAGCTGTGATGCTGCACAGAGACAGGATTTGAAAGACCTGCTCTGGGTTTTGTGTTCCCCTTGGTGCCCTGGAGCTAAGCTCCAGGAGTACCTTGCAGCCCAGATACTGAGGAGGGAGGTAGTTTGGAGTGCAAGAATCAGCAGTTTTTGCATTTTACACTTACTCCACCAGCCCAACACTGCTACTTCTTAATCTCCCTGAGAAGGGCAGCACTCTAGCTGTGTTGGGCTGCTGCAGTAGTACCAAGGTTCCTCTATCCTAGCTCTGCAGTGCAATGGGAGGATGCAATTCCCTCAGCATCAGCCCTGTCCCTTCCCAGTACACAGCCTGTGCAGTGGGCTGTGTGCTTGGTGGGGGTGAAGGAGTTTTCTAAAATACTTGTGTCTTTGGGAGGCTTGCTTCATTCAGAAGTGCCAAAAACACCTGAAATGTTAATGGTCTTTGTTTTCTGTTGTTTCAGCCGGATAGTGCGTATCAAGGGGGAGTATTTTTTCTCACTGTACACTTTCCAACAGACTATCCTTTCAAGCCACCAAAGGTAAGTGCTCTCTCAGATGTTATTCCATTTCTAGTTCAGAGCTTTTTTTAATGGCCTGACTGTTTGGAGCTCACTTTAGGGAGCTAAAACCAGAGAGGCCAGCATCATGGCATGTGTTTGTACTGAGTATATAGAGAAGATGGAATCCTACAAATGAGTTGATAGTATGAGAGATTGTATAATACAATGTGTTGGCAGATCTGGTATGGCTGGGAAAAAAAGAGTTGTATTTATGGTATCAGCTATAATAAGCAAAATTTGATGTTAACAGCTTGTTTTGTTTTGATTTCCAGATTGCTTTTACAACAAAAATATACCACCCAAACATAAACAGTAATGGAAGTATCTGTCTTGACATCCTGAGATCACAGTGGTCACCAGCTCTGACTGTATCTAAAGGTAAAGGTGTAGTTTATGAAATTGCATATAGTGCCATAGTGTTTTTAGTGTTACTTCAGTGTCAGAGGGTGACAGTGAGAATTCATTTATCCTGCATATTACAGTTACATATCAGTACAGTTGCATTACAGCTTTCAAATGGTAATTTACGCTACAATATTTTGGTAGCTTTTTGGGTTGCTTGAGCATCCTTGCATGAGCTAAAGTCTTAATTTTACTTTAGAGGCATTATTCTGGTTTACATTGCTTTATAGGATACACTTTTTAAAATATAGTTGCTTTCCGAATCATCAGTAAAAGTTTTTCTTACAATATTCTAGTACTTTATTTACATTTTCTCAAGTCTGAAGACTCTTTACTTTTGTAATGTTGAGATTGTAGGCAGATCTTGTTGACTGTCACCTGAAAAGCTGCTTAAAATGTGGGTGCTCTCATTACTTTTCTTTTCTCTGATCAGAATGCTTAGCTACGCAGTCATATTACAGAACATTCTCAGGTGATTCAGTTTTGATCAATCTAACATCTTGCTTAGGTGTTTAAGAGCTACCTAAACCATGTGCCTCAAAACTAAGATGAACGTGCTTTCCTGAGGTAGCTACTGAAGGCATGACTTCTGTGGTTTCCACAGAAACTGGCTGACTGAGCAAAAATTGTCTTGTTTCCAGTTAGTTAGAAGGCACTTAGAAATGAGAGTTGGCATTTATCTTTCCTAATAGGCAGCATTTAGGACTAAAAACCTCTGAGTTTTCAGGTCTTGGGTGCTTATCTGAAAGTGTCTTTACTTTTTTTGGTGAGTATTCCTTCAGCTTTAGAGGAACTATCTACTGGTCAGTTCTCCATTTTTCTGGTCCTGATTGTCATCACCAATAGTTTACTATAAACTATTAAACCAATACCAAGAGTATATGCAAATATTCACACTAGTTTGGAATATAAAATAGAATTTCCTGAAATGTGTATATTGCAAGTGTCATAAAGATTGAACATTCTGGCTTTGATACCTAGAAATTAATATGAAATTATAAGAAGTGAGTAGCAGTGTGTAATACTGATAAATTTTTCTCCAAAATGGAAGTCACATTTAGGTCAAATTAAGTGAAATATTGATGTGAAAGAGCTCTTGTCAGCACAGAGGTGGGGGAAGGATGTGCACAGAACCAATGTATGGTAGTGTTACACTAATGATTAATTTAATTGGTGGTGGAAAGGGACTTCATTTGAAATATTCGTATAGAATGCAGTTTCAATGCTCATAGATTAGTGCATGGAGGAGAGATTATTACAGGAGTTACAGCTCTGTGGTATGCAAGATGTTTAGATTAGTGATCAGAAGTGGTCCTTGTCTAGTATAAATATTTCTGAGCAGAACTGCTGTGTAAAAGTTGTGCATTTTTTTCCAACCTTCTGTTCCCTTCTCCCACTTCAGTACATTGGAATATATTAAAGATCTGTAGGAAAAAAGCAAATTATCTTGTTTAATCAAGTGTCTCCTTTATTTAGTTTTATTGTCCATATGCTCCTTGCTTTGTGATCCTAATCCAGATGATCCTCTAGTACCGGATATTGCACAGATCTACAAGTCAGACAAGGAAAAGTGAGTATAATGTATATGTGCATATTCTGTGTGGTACTTGCAGATGCTTATCTGCTATACATCCTTCTATCTGAACTTTTCAAGATGTTTAAATCTTGAAGATAAGAACCCATGGAATGCAAGCAGGAAGCTGCCTACTCTTTTTCCTATTTAAAATTGCACAAAACATTCACACTGTGATTGAATGTTTATATTCCTTTTTATTGCATGAAAACATCCTTAAATATACGTTATCTGTTGCTATGGTGGTTCTCTAGTTGTTCAACCTGTGCATTTGGTAAAAACTTAGATCTGAACTGTGGAACATGTGATTTGATACAATTTTATAAATGTAGCATCAGCTAATATTGAGCTGTTAGTGACATGTTATTGCAAATTGTAGCAACATCTTCCTGAAGAAAAATCCTTGGATTTTTCTAGAGTAGTTGGAGAACTTGTGGAAGTTTTTAATATTGAGAAGGTAACATGGATAGTACTACTCAAGTATTACATGCTTCTCAATCAGTTTTTATTCAAAAGTTTTAACTCTAAAGGTATTCTACTCAGTGAAATTTCTATTCTTGGGTCTTTTACTTCTAGTGTGCAACCACCTGAGTTTCCCAGAGTTCAGTTTTGAGGTTTGCTGACTTCCTATTGTACATCCCTCCTAAGTAGGGTTTTGAAATGCTGTGATGCAGCTGCATGCATGGCTGAACCCTCACAGGATCAGGTAACAGCATTTACGAGTTGCTAGCAAGTCCAGTGACATAAAGACTAGGGACAATAAGAGTAGGGACCTCTGAGGTTTCCCAAACATATCCATCGTGAGCCCTAATTTAACAAGGATGAAATAACCTTCCCCAAATGATTCCACTACAAAACATCTAGTTGCCTTAACAGGAAATTAAGTAGTCCTAGCCATGTACCGCACTCATAAATAACCTAAGCATCACTGTCTACCTGACTTTTTGCTGAAGCCACTGAAATTGTTGTGAATTTAGTTTGGGGCAGGTCATTTTCTTTGGTACTTAGGCTGTTTTTGGTAAATCTTCTGTTAGCTATTTCAGTTGTTTGACTTCTCCATTCTACCTGTCAACATGTAGACAAATGTTAAGAACTGGAGGAAAAGTTATTGATTCTGTGAGGACATTTGCCTCTGGGAGGGATAGTTAGCTTCATAGCAAAAGGAAAAGACCCAAGAGTTGAAATCTAGTCTTTTTGAGAAATTTTCCTTTTAAGATCAGATGGCAGAGCAAAATGGAGCATAAAAAGTGGCTCACCTTCAAAATTCATATAAGCTTTTTGAGGAAGCTTGCATTTCCATCCCTACGTTTTCCAAGACCAGTTAATTATACTGAATTGTGTGCTATTAAAGCAGATTTTGTGAAATTCCATATGCTTTTTGGAAATCAGCAAAAAAAATCCTTTTTTAATATGCAATTAAGGAAACTGTGTGAAATGCAAGTGAAATGTGCACTCCCACATTGTAATACAAACCTATATTAAAACCTAAGATGATTCTGAGCTTGAATCAAAATTCTTTGGTGGTGTAATTTTCAGAAGCTGAACAGAAAGCAGGTATGTGCTTTACATTTTAAGTTATACAGATCAATCTGAAGAAGTGAAACTCAATAACATCAGTATTGAGCAAGTAAGTGGGCATCATCAATGTCTTGCTAACAGCTCTTCACTGTAATGCCTTCTTTCTGCACATACAGATACAACAGACATGCAAGAGAATGGACGCAGAAATATGCAATGTAAACTTATGAAGACTTTTTCATATACTACAGAGTACTGTAAATTCTAGTTTTTTTTCAAATTAGAAGGAAATGGAGCACAGTTTACTGTTTGTGTAGCACGATGCCCTTTTTTCCTTTTTCTCTAAACCCATGTAATGTGTTCTGGAACAAGGGAAAACAAGCTTCTAAATAACCTTAAGACTGATAAGAATATCTTTTTTGTATGCTTGCAGAAGACATTTATTATGGTTTTTAAGAGTTGGACATCTGCATCTCCAGATTGCAAGATCCATAATGCAGTTGTAAAGCAACCAAATTATTTTTGTTGGAAAAAGTAGCTGTTTTTAATGTGATAAATACTGTATGTGTGTCTTTAAGATATGTTGTCTGTTTCACAAGTGTGTTCAAATTTCATTTTGTTAGTTCATTTATGTAATTTGTATATTTCTACTGTATAGACTAAAGATTTTATTTACTATGTAAGTCACTTCATTTTAGACTTACTTTCTTGTGCACAGTGTTGACAAAATACAACTGCTAGTAACGAAAATAATTGGGATATCCAACCTGTTAGGATATTCTAAAGACTGACTTTAGATTTCTTAAAACCTAAAATGATCTTTGCACTGTAATTCTTAGTACGCCAATTATGGAGAAACACTTGTTTTTGATTCTGTTGCATACTTGACTTAATTTTTTTGCAATGTGAACTAATTGCACTGCTATGTAGAAAGATATGTAACTGTTTTGTTGCTATTCACAACTGGTTTTTACCTGTAGGCAACTTAACCTTCTCACAGACCTTTTACAAATCTAAATGTAGCCTTTTCCATATAAATAAAATGCATTTTCTACTACTTCTCTTGGCTATTCTTTTTAAATCATGCATATCCTTGAGGTGCTTGTTCTAACATTAGAAAATCAAAATGTTAAGTATGCATGTGTCTTGTAGACAAAAGAGGAATGAAGCCATGCATCTGATACTACTGAACTTGATAATTGTGTGCTAGCTTTATAGCATTTATTTAGCATGCTATACCCATTGCTTTATATGGACTTGGACAAATGTAGTTACATATTATAACTACTAATTTACTGAGGAAATACCACAAATGTTTGAGCCTTAAACACTTTAAGGTGGTGTATTTGCAATATTGGAATGTTACAGTAAATTTCTTAAAACTGAAGCAGAATTATTTGTTAATTGTCACTTAATTGCTTCATGTAGCAAGCCAGTAGTGCTAGAGAGGCAATCTTCTCTTATAAAATATATTAAAATGTTATTTAAATATTCTCTTATTAAAATGTATTAAAACCAGAGGAGTTTGTTTCCTATCAGAGATTCTTTAGTTATCTGTAAGTAAAAATGTGTGACTCATTTTTGCCATGTACCTTGCATGTTAACCGAAAGTAGCTTGCAGTTGGGAAACTTGAAAAAAGGTAATTGCTTTTTACTGTAATGAATGTCAAGCCGGCACTTGGGATGTGGGGTAAAGCCTGCAGGGTCAGAGGTTTTTCCCTGTGAGTGGGCTATGGGTTTATCTCCATGCTTGTTGAGTTACTGTAATGACACAAGGAAGGTGCTACTTCTATGCTAGCTTTATCTATGACCCAGTAATGACTTTTGCAACACAACCTTCATGGACACTGTCTTTTATAAGCCTTGCTCCAGCTCTAAGCTTTAGACTTACGTGTTTTATAAGTCTTGGTTGCAACAGTTTTTCTTGGGTTGAAGAAAAGTAATTATTTTGGAGTGTTTTAATAAGTGTTTTCCTATATTTGAACTAGGATACAATGTAGCTGGGAAGATAAAGCCATTGTTGTTAATATTTATTGCTAAATGGAGAGAGGTGGGAAGTTCTGACTGTCAGGATGTGCTCCTGGAGCTTGTAATTCTTCTAGACTTAGTGAAATGCTTGTACTAGAAATTGTTGGCAATACCTGTGCTGAATTGTGTGAAATTGGAAGTTTGACTTGTGTATCAAACATCACTTTCTCCTGGTCACTGCACTGTATTAGGGCTGCTTTGGAAATGTTTTTTGCCCCTGATGTTTGTGTTGGGTGCTGCATGTACAAGAATGATCTGTGGGATGATCAAAAACTTAACCAAAAAAAAAAAAAAAAGCTGGAGTACTGATGACCCTTAGCACCCTTGGCTTGTGGTGTAATTATACAACTCTTTACCCTCTGGCATGTTGGTTAGAGGCATTTAACTTGAAGGTTTTGATTTTTATGGTTTTCTTGGCTTAGGCTTTCTGCCTCTCAAGTACTATAACCATGAAGCGTTGGTCACCCTTCACCTATTGCAATAAACCTTTTCAGAGCTCCTGTGTGCCCCGTTACAGCAGCGTGCAGTACGTGTGTTTTGGGGAGGAAGGGGCGGGCGGAGGTCACTCCACCCTCGCCTCTTTGCTGTGGCCGCGCAGCGTGAGGCGGGGCGGCGCCATGACGCCCGCGCCCGTCCCCTTCCCGCCCTGCCCCGGGGCCGCGCATGCGCGCGGCGGGTGGC